CCTTCCGGTGAATGGTCCCGAGCTCGCCAGTGTAGGAGGAGCACAAATTGGGTCAGGCTGCCCTCTCTCTCTCTCTCTCTCTCTCTCTCTCTCTCTCTCTCACACACACACACACACACACACACACACACACACACACACACACACACAACAAAAACAGGACATGAAGTTAGGAAGGGGTAAGGGGAGTGGGTCTAAGAGGAGAGACTAGGATCACGTTATATGCACCTATGAAATTCTCAAAGCATTAATAAAAGTGTTGTATTTTTTAAATGAGCTGCAATCATTTTCCAGGTGAACAGGCTGGGATTCCAAGAGGTTAAGCACCCTGCCTTTGGATCTACATCTGGGGGGCAGAGCTGGGTCAGAACCAGTGTGTCTCCTGATTAGAGCCCGTGGTGGGGCCGGTCATCCTGCTCGGGTGCCAGGCTTTTGAAATGTGACACCATCAAAAATGCCCAGAGATCTTTCATGCTGGAGTGAGAACAACTTTGCATTCAGATCAGGGATCATTTTTCACACCTGGAATTCAAAGCATCTGAACACAGATATCATTATCCCTGGTTCACAAATGGAAAAATCTGACGGGCTTGCTCAACCATCATGCCCATGCAAACTGGAATGTTAACCCTCTGCAGGGGCCCACCTGCTTGTGGGGCATCCTTCAGCATGCTTTCTATTGCCTGTCGGTACCTTCCTTGGTCATTGTCTCCTCTTTTCCAAGTGTAAACCCCACAAAGGAACAATGTTTATTTCTTTCCCTTTTTAATGCATAGATGATCCTTTGAGATAGTGCCTGATTTAGTTTGCTTCTCTGTTTTTGTGTTAAAACACTTTAGGGTTTATTTGGCTTACACTTCCAGGTCTTACTTCACAGAAGGAAGCCAGGGCAGGAACTCAAGCAGGAATCAAGACAGAAAGCATGCTTTTTATTAGCTTCCTCACTGGCTCATGCTCAGCTTGATTTCTTACATGGCTCATACCCACCACCTACCTGGAGAGAGTGCCACCCACAGTGAGCTGGGCCCTCCAACATCAATCTCCAAACAGGACCGTCTCTCACAGACATGGCCACAGCTGAGGTTCCTTCCAAGTTGTGCCAAGTTGCTCATAGAACTAATTAGCATAGTACCCAACCGATACTTAACTTTAAATGAACATTTCTTAAGTGAACAAACGAAAAGATGAGCACTCCAAGATGTCTCCATGCAGGCATGTGGATTGGCAGAAGAATCAAGTCATGGGTTCTGATGCTGAGACCTGTCCTGTACATTGGCCAGCTCCAAGCTCTGCAGCCTCCGGGGAAAAGCAACTCTCCCTTGTCCCGCACACCTCAGATTCTAGGATATAACCTGCTTTTGATCACGTGCCTTGCTCCACTTAAGATGGGTATGTGAGATCTCTCTTACATACTTCACACTCAAAAAGCACCAATATACGTAGACTTCTTCCTCACCACTGCCACAAAAACAAAAGGGTGTCGGGCTTTTGTGTGGTTTTCGTAAACAAAGGAACTGCAGTTCTTCCCGTTCACACCCTGCAGGAGTGGACAGGAAACGCTCCACAAAGTCTTCATCGTACAGAGATGTCCCATCTCTCAGACACTGGCAGAACCTTAAGGGATCCCCGGTGGGAGCAGAGAGTTTGCAACTGATTAGCCATGGACTCCTATTTTCAGAGGCTCCCAGGACCCATCTCTTAGGAGATTTCACACCATTTTGGAAGGCGTTAGAAAGATGTGATGAACGTGAACTTCTGCTCAGACGTGTACATATGAGTGCAATGATCAAGTCACAGGAGGTCTTTGGTCCTGGCAATGTCGGCA